GGCCAGGTCCCCGCTCCGAGGTCAGACCTGCTTGGCGGCTCTTCCATTTGCGGCGACCCCCTCCCTCCGTCCCGGCCCTGGGGTGGGCGCCGCCCTGGCTGGCCCTGGCGTCCCGCTCTGCGGCTCTGCGGCCCCGGGAATCCCCGTCCGGCCCGGGCGCGGGCGGCGCCGGGGCTGGAAGCACCTGGAGGGGCGCGAGCGGCCGGGCGCGGCGGGACGGCCGGGAGGGGCCGCGGGACGACCCCGCCGCGCCGGGGGGGGGGGGAGGGGGGGGGGGCGCGGGAGGACGAAGGACGGGGCTGCGGCTGGGAGACCCCAAGGAGCCCGCTCCGGGCGGGGCCCCCACCCCCCGCCGCCCCTGCTGTGCCCAGGCCCGGGCTCGCGGCGGCGAAGGTCGGAAGCCAACGCGTCAAAGAAGAACAGGCCCTGCCCCGCGGGCGGGTGTGCGCGTGCGCGCGCCGAGCGGACAGGTGCCCCGGGCGCCGCCGCCAGCCCCGCCCACTAGGGGCGGGGCCTCGGCGGCGGGGCGGGGCCTCGGCGGGAGGCGGCCCCGCGGGGAAGCGCGCGCCTGGCGCGGCCGCGGCCGGAGGGGGCCGCCCTGGGCTCCCGCCTGGGCCCCGGCGAGGCCGAAGCCCCGGGCTTGGAGCGCGCCCAAGCCGCGAGCCCTCCCCGATGCCCCCGCGGCCGGGCGCTTGGGGCTGCGGTCGTCCCCGGCGGAGGCAGCGGGGCGTGCGCCCCCACGAACGTTTGCGAGGCGCCCCCGGTGCGGGCGCGGGAGCTGCAGCCCACACCAGGGCCGAGCCCCGACGCGCGACCGCCCCGCCGCTCCTGCTCTCGGCGACGGGTCTTACTCCGCGCCCGGGGGAGCGGCCGGGGCCGCCCTGGAGCTCCGCCAGCACCTGCGGGCACAGGCTCCCGGCACTGGGGCGCGGGACGGGAGCCGCGCCCGCCGCCCCGCCCCTCGGGAGGGCCCCGGGCCGGGGCGCTGGGCGCCGCGAGGCCTGGGGGTCCGCCTGGGGAGCGCGTGGGGGGCAGGCTGGCCGGAGGGGGGCGTGGGAGCCATTGAGCGGTTCCAGGGGGAGTGGCCAGTCTGGTCTCTGCTGTAGAAACACCTCGCGGGCCTGGCCAGGCAGGAGGGGAGGCGGTGCAGGGGAGGAAGCAGTGAGGGCGGCAGACAGGGCGAGAGGCCAGGGAGACCCGATGTCCGGCAGAGCTGCGCGGATTGCAGGGGCCATGGGCCCAACCTGGACTGAGGAAGGTGGCCCAGAGAGGTGCCCCTCCCCGGGATGGCACGGCCAGGGACATCACTCTGGACCTGCTGGTGCCAGCTTATCAGGGGTCCAGGGCTCTGTGGGAGCCAGCACCCTGGTCCATGTCCATATCCTGGGCTGAAGTCTGGGCCCATCCCATCCTTCCCTCTTCCCCAAAGGGCCTTTCCTCTCCACCACCCCCACCTTCTACCTCCTAGGGGGCCTCCCTCCTCCCCTCTTGCCACACACCAGCCAGCCTCCCGGCAGTGACCACTGGGCACTGGAAACACAAGTCAGGTTTCTCCCCAACTCAGCAGAATAAAATCCAGACTCATGGCCAGAAACCCAAGCCTGACCTCACCTCTGCGCTCTGCCTGCTCCCCAGCCCCCCACTTTGAGCTGACTGCTGGGAAGAGCACCGGAGCACCCGTCCATGCCCTGTGGCATTCCCCTCCCCGACAGGCTCCCTCTGAGTTGTTTCTGCTCCAGCGCGAGCATCACCTCCTCCTGGTGAAAGCAGAGGCCCCGTTATCTGGCTTCGTTGTCTTTAATCCTTATGGGTGGTGTCCTCGCGTGTCATGTTCTCTCCTGACCAGACCACGCGTCCTGTGAGGACCTGCGTGTGGCCAGGGCCTGGCCCCGCACCAGATGCTCCGGGGACGCTTGGAAGGAGTGGGCTCGCTCCTGGGGCCGGCTGGTGACCAGCACTAAGCATCCTGGGCAGTGACGTTACTTCTGCAAGGGCCCTGGAGACCCTTGGGAGAAATGAGGGATTTGCACTGAGACAAGCTGGGTTTCCAGGACAGTGGGAAGGGCAGGGCAGGAGAGAAGGCTCCTGGGGCCAGGGTCACAGAGACTAGCTTAAGAAGTCAGGTGGGCAGGGCCTCCCCTGGTGGCGCAGCGGTTGAGCGCTGGGCTGCGAAGCTGCCTGCAGCCTCTGCAGTGCCAGTTCGATCCCTGGCTGCTGGCGAGGGTCCCACATGGCGCGCAGACCTCTCCTGCCGCCCGCTGCTCCCCTCAGCAGTGTATTTTGTCAGTCTGCCTGTTCCATTCCCCGCTCTGGCTCTGGTGAGCCCTCTCACCCTCCCGTGCTTCTGAGTGTACCCAGTGCTTGTATAAATAAATAAATTTAAGAAAGGAAAAAAAAGTCAAGTTGGGAGCCTGTCAGGAAGGGTCTTAGTTGGTGTGGACTGAACGGTGCCCAAGACCTCTGTGGCCACGTGAGGACACCTGCTTTCACACCCACGTGGACACCGATGGGGTCCCGGTCAGCCCTTGGGCCGCGTCTCAGGATCTGCTCTAAAGGTGCCTGGCGTCAGGATGACCCAGGACTTGGGGGGCGGGGACTTTGCACAGTGATGGCCTGGGCACATCTCTGTGGGGCGACTACGGTGCGGACTCATCCTGAGGCACACGGGCCCCGAATCTTGTCAGTGGCAAATGCTGGCCTCAACACAAACAGTTCCGGTTTTTCACCTGCCTGGCCGAGGCGGGCTGGCTGGAGCACGTGGTCTCCAGCAAGGTGGAGGCGGGCTGGGTACAGGCTGAGGCCCAGGCAGGGCAAGACCAGCAAGAAGGTCACCACTGCTACTGGACGCATCTAATACCCTGACTGTGCTTTACTTAACCACCAGCCGGCCCCTCTATAACTCAGGAGAGCGCCCCCTCGCCCCCTCCTGCTGGAAACCTGCTATGCTCACTGTTCTCCCTGGTGTTCAAGCCCCATGTTTTCCTCTCCCCCGCCCCCAAGTCTGGCTAGATTGAAAGGTAAAGATTATGACTTGAGATAAACAATGAACAACAATTATTTGTCCATAAAAAAAGAAATAAAAGGCAATTAAGTCAAACAGAGATCCTGTGGGTAGGCCTAACCCAAGAGGCTGTGTCCTCACAAAGGGGGGGTGACACCAGGCACGTGCGAGCAAAGAGAAAAGACCACACAGAGAGGCGAGGGATGCTGTCTGCCAGCCCAGGGGAGGGGCCGGGGAGCCATCCCTGCCAGCACCCTGATCCTGGCCTTTGAGTCTCCAGATTCCTGACCAGACTGTGGGTCTGTGTTGACAGCCCGGCACCTAGCGCAGGCCTCCAGTTCTTAGGATTTCAGTTTTAAATGGTAATAAAATCATCCGGTTCACAAATCAAATGTAACGCAGAAGAGCGACCGGGCGGTCAAGGTCAGCACCGGCAGTGCCATGGGATGCTGCTCCTCTGGGCGCTGGATGTGACAGGACGGAGATGGCATTTTATCTTTGTGGCGCGCTGCCCAGCCCCAGTCCAATCATGAGGAAAACATCAGCTAAGGCTCAAGTGAGGCTTCGCCTACATCATGCCCAAGCCGCCCGGGTCAAAGAAACAAGGAAGGTGTGAGGCGCAGAAGGTCCCGGTCTCAGGAGCCTGAAGGGAGGAGAGGACCAGGGCCACGGGGCGTCCCGAGGCTCCCGGGGACACGAGGACGTCGGGACAAAGTATGGACTTTCGTTCGTGGTGGCTCACGCTGGCCCATGAGTAGGGAGGAGCGGCCACGCTGGTGCAGCTGTTAGGGGGAGCGGGTCCGGAGGAGGGGTGATACGGGAATGCTTCTGGAACTCTGAAAGGCAAGTTTATTCTCTAAAAGGCAGCAGCCCTCGGTCTCCTTCTAATTCCTTTTTTCCTTCGTGTGGTTCTGTTTTCCTGGCTGCACCCTGACTGGTTAGGGGCTAATTTATACATGTCAGCCTAGAAGGAGCTTTAGACCCCAATCTTTCAGGCTCTCTTCTCTGCTCTCACCATTTTTTCAGAAACTTGCGACGGGTGCTCTAGTCACGTCTGCAAATGGCCGGGAGCTGACTGGAAAAGCCATTCACTGCATGGTGGAATCAGAATCTAACACTATCTCAACAGGCCAAATTCTCTCCAGCTGCTGGCCCATCTGCCCAGCCCCCACTCCCACCTGCAGTCACCACTGGCCGGGCTCTGTGGCCCCTTCACGAATCCTTGCTGCAAATTAGAATCTATACTGATTCTCTCCCCAGATGGCCTCTTTATTTGCTGTAAAGAGCATTTAATAGTTTTCTCTATGAAACAGCTCAGGCACAGAGAGTGGGGAGAAAGGCAGGGCGCACCCCATGCCCCCTCCACCCGGGTCCGGAAGCGCCAAGCCTGCCCGGGACAGCCTGCTGCCCCCGCAGCCTTGCTTTCTTGTTTGTGAATTGTTTGAAAGGGGGTTCCAGAGCCTCACAGACACTAAGGTGCCTCTCTGGGCACACCCTGCGGGCTCAGCCCACCCGTCGCGGAGACTCCTGAAGGGTCTCCTGGGAACCTCAGCCTGGGTGATGGGCAGGCACAGCAGGGCCTGCAGGGCGGGGGTGTGTGATGTGACCTAATTATGTGTGCGTGTGGGGTGGTTTGGGTGTGGAGGAGTTTGGCACAGAGAGGCCAATTATGAACGCCCTCGGTCAGGATGGGAGGCAAGGGCCTGAGCTGCCTCGGCAGGGGTGGGGGCGGGCAGCAGGGCCAGCTGTGACGGACGTCAGTCTGGAGGACGTAGGAGCCTTGCTGCGAGGGCGGAGTAGTCTCCACTCTCTGCTGGCAGGTTCCACGGGTGGAGTGGACCGCGATGGCCGAGACTTCCCTTCTTGGGAGAGCAGGTCCATTTAACTGCCTTAGCTTGGTGGCACTTCTCCGGTGACCCTGCCTTAGCTTGGCTTGGCAGGCCAGCGCCGCCCCTTCACCAGCAGATGTTAGTTCCCTATGAGGAGTCGGAGTTGGAAGGCCCTCGAGGATCATGGATTCTAGTCTCTCTGGTTGCAGATGGGGAAACTGAGACCCAGAGATGGCATGTAAGTTGCCTAGGGCTACGCAGTGTGGTAGGCAGAGCTGGCGGCCAGCCTGGGGGTGCCCATACCTGCAGCTTCCTCTCCTCTCCAGCCCTGCCTCCAGAAGGGCCTTGCCCTCCGCCACTGACGTCTAGCTGTGCACACTTTAAAACCCCGGGTGGGCCCTGTCCCAGGGACATGTGCACACACAGCCTGCCCGCTAATGAGGGCACACCTACGGAAAGCTACCACCCACGGCGCCCACGAGGGCCCAAGCGAGCGTGGGGCTTCCGTACATCATGTCTGCATCTCCCCATGCCATGACGCAGGTCCTATTACTGCTCTAATTACCCCCGAGAGACGCGGATGGAGATAGATGTGACCTGCCCGAGATCGCGGGAGGGCGGGGCGGGGGCCGTGTCTGGCACAGGAAGGCTGCCTCTCAACCACTAAGCCCCCGGCCTCTGAGAGGGCTGTGGCTCCCCAAGAAGGGGTGGTGGTGGCCTCCCTCTGCCCCGCCCCACCTGCAGCCTCCAGCCTCCCAGAGGACCAGGCAGGCTCCAAACTGACCCGACCTCCACTTGCTGCGTCTCCAGGGGGCCGTGCGCTTCCCGAGGTGATGTGTGGCCTTTGGGGTTTAGGGTCATCGACAGACCTCCGCATCCTGGATGCTCGTGGAAGTTTCTGGGCGGCGCGGTGAGTACATCACGCACAGTCTCGCCTTTGCCAGGGCTCAGGTGGACGGCGAGGCGCGCGGGCAGCCATCACCGCCGTCCCCGCGCCGGGCTGCGGCCCCGGTGGCCCTGCCCTGGGTCACGGGCGCTCGGCCAGCGGGGCAGGTGCCCCTGGAGACGGGGCTGGGGGGAGCGCCCTGGACACTGAGGACGCGAACAGGGGCCCAAGGGCGTTCAGGCCGCGGGTGTGGCCCCTCCGACGGCGCCGCCGGCAGGGGCGGGGGACGGGGGGGGGGAATGGGGGGGGGCGCCTCGCGCCCGCAGCCCCGCCGGCGCCGGCCCCGGGTCAGGCCGCGGTCAGAGCGGGCGCGTGCCGCCCGCCGGCCTCCGGGCACCGGGGTTCGAGTCCCGACCCCGGCGAGACGGGCGGGGGGCCGGGCCGGCCCACCCCGCGTCTCCGCCGTCCGGACTGGGGGTCCCGGGGCCGCCGCGAGCGCGCGGCCCGACGGGCGGGGCGGGGCGGGCGGGGCGCGTGCGCCGCGGGAGCGCGCCGGCCCCGGGAGCGCGCACGCCCCTGGCGCGCTCGCACCTGGTGGCGGCGGCGGGAGGCCCCGCCCCGCCCCGCCCCCGGCCCGGCCCGGCCAATCGGCGCGCGCGGCCGGGCCGCGGGGGCGCCGCGCGGGGGCGGGGCGGGCCGGGAGCGCCGGGGCGGCGGCGGCGGCGGCGGGGCCGGTCCCGGGACAGCGACGCAGCGCGCGGGCGGCCGCCTCAGGCCGGCCCGGGCTCCGCAGCCCCCGCGCCCGCGCCTCGGCGCGGCGGGGCCCGAGCGCGGCGGCCATCGCGGGCCTGCGCGGGCGGCGGCGCCGAGCGTCCTGTCAGGCGGCGGAGGGCGCCGCGGGCTCGCGCCGCGATGATGCCGGTGGGTGCGGGGCGCGCGGGGGCGCGCGGGGCGCGGGGCCGGGCGGCGGCAGGTGCGGGCGGCGCCGGCTGTCAGCGCCGCGGGGCGGGGCGGGGCGGGGCGGGGCGGCGGGGCGAGGCCCTCCCTGAGGCGCCCCCGCCGCGGGGTCGCGGGCGCCGGCCGGGGAGGGGCCCCCGGAACGGGGGTGCGCCCGGGAGCGGGCCGGGGCGGCGGGCCGGGGCGGCTCCCTGGGGCGGCGCTGGGGGTCCCGGGCGCCCGGCCCCGCGTCCCGCCCGCCGCGGAAACCTGGGCTCGCGGGGCGCGCCCGCCGGCGCGGTGCCGCCGCCCCCGCCCGGCCCCGGCCCCGGCCCCCCCGGCGCCCGCGCGGCGGGAGTGCGGACGCGGCGGGCGCGGCCCGCGGGGGGCGGCGGGCGGGGGGGCCGGGGCGGGGGCCGGGGCCGGCGCGGTCGCCGAGGGGACCCCGCGGCGCGCCGGGAGAACGTCGCGTTCCGGAGGAAACGGCCGTTTCTCTGCGCGCCCGGGGCGGACGCCGCTGCCCCGCCGGCTGCACCCAAGGACGTTCAGACCAGAGCGTTTTCCTGAGCGTTCACGGCGTTTCCTGCCGCGCGGCGATCCCACCTCCCCGGCCCGGCTGCCCCGGCACTCGGCGCGGTCAGGTCGGACCCCGCGGCCTCAGCGCCCGCCCGGCCCCGCGCCTGTCGGGGTTGCGGAGGCTCCGCCGGATGCGCGCGTGTCGGGCCCCGGAGACGTGGAGGGGATGCCCGGGACGGGGCTCAGGTACTGGTTCTGCTTCTCTTTAGCGGAGTGACCTTGAAAGCCAAGGCCTCTGAGCCTGGGGCTCCCTTCCAAGGAGGAGTGAATATCTGGGGGCCGCCCGGGGATGAAAAAGGATGATGGGTCCAGAAGTGCTTGTCAAACAACGCCGTGCAAACGCCGTGCAAACGCTCCTGGTGTTGCTATGGGTCTGAGTCGTCAAGGTCTAAGTTTAACCTCTGCGAGATAAGGCCTTGGAAAGCAGCTCACTGGCCGGATTTGGAAAAAGCAAGGTGTTTTGGAATGTTGACACTTTGATTAGATCCTATCGTAGGTGATTGATATAATTTGCTGCCATGGTAACGTTGAAACACAGGTATAACGTATCTGTTACTTATTGTATAATGTTTAATTACAAACACTCCGTTAAGAGACTTGCTTGCATGTTCCATATGGTGCATGCAGATACTTTAACTCCACCCACTTGATTAGAGGCGCTGGTCTTACCAGGTTTCCTTTGTAAGAAGTCAAAATACTCAAATACCATTTTATCAAAAAAAAAAAGAAACAGCCCTATAAACTATTTCAAACACACTGCTTTTGCTTTAAAATGCCTTCTAGAAACATGGTATTCTCTTGGCCCCTCTTTTGTGGCCTTTCTTTTTGTTTTTTCATTCTTGATCTTTAAAACACTGCTTACAGGATCAAGTCCTTCCACTATTAGCACGGTTGGAGTTGGTTGTAAATTTAATGGAGGTTTTAGGAACATGGCATTTTTCTTATGTGACACTATCTTAAACTATGCATCTGAGATAGAAATAAGATTTTCTCACTTGACTGTGTACTTGTCATCACGATGAGTCATTGGAAGGCTAGGTCAGATTTCGCTCCGTTTGTGCGGAGCAGAGCTGCTCCCGGGAATGCGTGAGCCGCCAATGCAATTCTCTAGTAAATACGTGAGAATAGTGTCTTCCTTCGGTTAACTCAAGGTAATAGTAATATTGTGATTTTAACATGCAGTTAATATGGAACACTGACACTGTGATATTTTACTTTTTTGCACGAAGCCTTTGTGACCCGGTGTGAGTCGCGGAGCTGGCCCTGCACACCTCGCTTCAGGCTGCACTGAGGTGCTCAGCCTGGCCCCTCCAGGGACCCCATGTCAGCACAGCTTTAGGGCCTGTTTGGCTTTGCCTGCATGAGAATTGTTGGCCGCGCGTCATGTCTGGCAACTTCTCGCTGGTCAGGCCCAGTACCACGGCCATGTAGGCTGGGGGGCTGAGGCCAGCGGGAGACCCGAATGCTCAGGGATGGAGAAAGTCTCCAGGGGCCTGCACGGCCTCCTGTGACCGTATGTGCCGGACAAGTTTGTGTCTGGGGATCTGTTTATGGACGGGGCAAGGCAGTCTAGTGCTGGAGTCATTCACATTTGTTGTCAATGGAGAACATTTTTTTTTTTTTTTAAATAGAGGCATGTTTTATTTATTTATTTATTTGTTTGTTTTGTTTATACATGCACTGGGTACAGTCAGAAGCGCGGGAGGGTGAGAGACTTCACCAGAGCCAGAGCGGGGAGCAGAGCAGGCAGAAGGACCGAAGTACACTGCTGAGGGGAGCAGCGTTTGGCAGGAGAGGTCTGCGCGCCATGTGGGACCCTCCTCTGGTGGCCGGGGAGCAGCCGGGGATCGAACCGGCGCTGCAGAGGCCGCGGGCAGCTTCGCAACCCAGCGCTCAACCGCTGCGCCACCAGGGAGGCCATTTTTTAAATGTTTTGCCAGAAAAAGGTGGACTTAGAGCTCATTTCCTGGCAGGCCCTCAGGTCTGGGCTGAAGCACACCTGAACAAGAGTTTAATCAGAAATGGCCACTCAGGCCGTGGACGGGACGCGCTCTGTCGCCAGTCCGCACCATGCTTTCTTGGCAGACACTGAATGCTTTGCAGCGAAGCCTGTGCGGGGGCGTCGGGCGGGCGCTGGGCGGGGCTGGAGTCGGCTCTGAAGAGGTGTCTCCGTGAGGAGCGCGTCCTGGTGACAGCGTTTGCCTTGCCCTCCGGGCCCTTCCTCAGGAGGCACAGCGTGGCTGGAGTTGCCCTTTTCTGCCCTGCCAGCCTGTGGGCCTGGTTGCTGAAGGCTGTGGGCGCCGTAGCACATGCCTGTACTCAGCAGACATCCCCATCCCAGCATCCCTGCTCCTGACCCTGTGGAGGCGCTTCGGGGCCTGCAGCAGACCTTCCTTGTCCTGCGCCATCAGCGGCTGTGTGATGACCGCAGTGAGCGGAAGAAGAAAGACAGGTCCCCGCCCTACTGGTCAGTCTCTGTGCAACCTTTGCACTTGATCTCCGGGGCCTCAGTTTCTCACCTGTGAGAAGAGTTGGCGGGGTATCCCCAGGCGCTCGTGGTTGGTCCCACAGGTGACTTGGAGCAGGTGCCATCAGGAGGTCAGTGCCCCAGAGCTGAGATGGCCCCGGGGGGGACACGCTGCCTGATGGTGGCTGGGAGCACCCTGAGGGCGTTCACCGTCATTGCTAGTTAGTGGTTAAGTCCAGGCTACGCTTGAATTTATGGCCTAATAAACAAAACATGAAGACTGGAAGGAGTTTTTCATTGTAGGTTTTTTTTAAAACAAAAACTATAAACGTATCACACGTACAATCATAAAATGATTTCTAGCCGCCGATGTCCAAAAACCCACAGAAGGGGAACGCGAGGCCTTGGTCACCCAAGGACTTGCACCTACGAGCTTCCGTCGCTGCACTTACACTGAGCTTACAGGTGTCTGTGCGGTGGCTCTCCTGAGGGCAGCGGCTCTGCCGGGCCCCGTGCCAGCCTTGGTTGGCGTCGCTGTTCCTGTGGAGGCCTGAGGCCCAGAGCTTTGGGCCCAGCTGAGGTCCCCCGCTCACTGAAGGTGCTCCTGCCCGCTGGCCAGCCAGCCAGACCGCTCAGCCCCCAGGTTTGTGACTGTGGCACCGTCGCGGCACGCCAGGCGCTGGCTTCAACTTAGCAGATGGCGTTTGAAATAGCAGCACATAGTCCCACAGGCCCGTGCCTGGCGCCTGCTGCTGTTGCTGGGGGAGGCTGAAGCCTCGGCAGGGCTGTGACGAGTGCGGGGGTCGTGGGGCACAGAAGACGCACGGCCTGTGGCAGGAGCCTGCCAGGGAGCAAGAGGCCTATGCATGGCCAATGCAGTGAGGCGAGGCCAGCTGGTGGCGGGCAGGGCCCTGGGAAGGCCTGGTAGCCTGTTGTCAAGGCAGAGGGCACGGAGCAAGGTTCCTGCGGGAAGGATAATGCTTGGTGGTCTGCCTGTGGCATCGGGAGCGGCTCTGCCGGGCAGGCACGGCCTCTGGGGCCCCTG